AGTCCATGTGCAAAATGTTTTGTGTATGTGCTTAATATGTTTGTCTTGGGAGAGAAAGTCCACACATTCTCCTCAAAGGATGGTGAGACCAAAAACAGAACCAGCGCTGTTACTGTCCACCTGCTGCCCTGAGGTCCAGGCAGTGGTGACCTCTTCCTTCTCTTCTTTCTCCTCCATCTCCCATCTCCTCCCCCTCCTCAGCTGACATCTCCAAACTTCCTCTGTACTTAATTTGGTTATGTTAATAGGAGCTCTGACTGCAGCATCAGCCATTTCAAAGAGCTAAGGGACGATCCTTGTCCCCAGCTCCACACTGTGGCACAGCTGGGCCACAGGGACAACAGGGAAAGAAATCCCTTGAACCCAGAACCAGGTCTCTAGTAATTGGCTGGCTGATCTTTTGTCTTTAATAACTAGAGGTAAGAAAAACTTTTTATGTCACTTCTTGGGCTTTCCGTGTGGTTAGCGGTATGAAAACTCCCTTTCCTTTGTCCTGTGCGATGTCTACACTGTGAAAGGCAAGGGTGGGGGATGGGGAGAAGTAGCGCATGGATGGGCAATACATTGACAACAAGGAGACAACTGTTGGGTCTGTTTTTACTTTAAAAAATTTAGGCTTCTGAAACCACAGAGTGCTTTTCTTTGATGTATCATTCTTAGTTCAAATCCAGCCATTGGCATGAAAGAAGAGAAATTTTGTTTTGAATAGGATTTAAGGCAGAGTTCCACATCCTCGCTATGTGGTTGTGAGTGCATCATGAAGTTATTTTGCAAGATAAATTTGCCTTTCCACTTCTGCTCTAGAATAACTGGGGCTTATTGAATATGGTGTGTGACTGCTTGTCCCAGCCCGCCTGTCTGTGTCTGGTGGGACTCACGCTGAAATGAGTTGTCTTCCTGGGTGCAGAGCACCTGGTGAAGAGAGGGAGGGCAGGGTGGCCCAGCAGCATACTGGGAAAGTACAACAGGAGCAAATATTTACTGTGGAAAATTCAGGGTTGATTTTCGTGGACAACCCAGAGCAGATCCTCCGCAGCAGCTGTCAACCGCAGGAGGGTTTTCCAAACAACAGCTTTTGTTCAGTGTGAACACAGAGTGGGCAGGCCTGGCCCCAGGGGAGAAGGGAACACAGCCCTGAGACCTGCTTCCAGGGGCAGGAGATGAGAATGAGATAAATGCTGCACAAAGGCTGATTTTAATGCAGAAAATTGACCAAGGGGGTGGATTTACAACCTCACATCACATAAGCCATAGATTGAGAGAACATTCCATATTCATTTATCAAGAGGGCGTTTGGAACTTCACAGCCTAGGCACTGTGCTACTAGGTGCCAGAATTATGTCCAGGAACAGAACAGACACAGCGTCCAGCCCTCACGGCCCTTACGGTCTGAGAGACGGACAACAGGCTCAAGTGTATTTAGTGCTGTAACAGGATGACACCTCCAGGGTGCTGTGGGGCAAAGAGGGACCGTCAACCCTGACTTAAGAGATCATGGAAGTCTTCCTGGAGGAAGTGATGTTGATGGAAGCTGAGAGCTAAGAAGTTAGGTAGGCCACAGGGGTGAAGGGTGACAACAAGAAAGAACTTAAGGCAGAGAACAGGATATACCCTCTGTGGGGCGTACGGCCATATTTGACAACTAAGGCAAACATGACATCATTTTAGTTTTTAGAGTTCTCTGTTCACTGTTTATAATCTCCTAGCACAGCAGTGGCAACCAGAGTTAACAGATATCGTGTCAGAGTTTTTAAAGTGTGTCCCGGTTTTTCCGTTCCGTAAGGTCTATAAACTTCTGAAGTGACTTTCATTTTTAAAAGTATTATTTGATTTCTTAAAATTAAACATTTTTCTTTTTGAACAGTTTTAGATCATTATTTGATTTTTAACTTTATATTGTGAAATAATTTCAAATTTAAAGTTAGAAAAATACTGTAAAAAAGCTGCCGTACATTTTTAACTATATCCACCAATTGTTTACAGTTTGCTACATTTGCTTTATCCATTATATCTATATATCTATGCATATCCAACACATTATTATCTTTGCCAAACACTTGGAGACATGATACCCTTTACACTGAGGGATTATGTCCTAAGAACAAAGATATTGTCTTATAGAACTGCGATACAATGATCAAATTCAAGAAAGCTAACAGTGATAGTTTATCACTGTGTAAATATAGTGTAAATCAAAATAACTATGTTATTATACAGTCTGTATTCAAATTTCACCAACTGTCCTAATAATGTCCTTTATATTTTTTCAGTTTGAGATCCAGTCCAGGTCACACATTGCCTTTCGTTGTGGTGTCTCTTTGAGGTCCTTTAACCTAGACCAGTGCCTCAGCCTTTCTTTGTCGTGCATGCCATTGATCTCTTTGAAGAGTGCACATAGGTTGCTTTGTAGAACACCTCTTACTGTGGGTTTATCTGATGTTTTCTCATGATTAGATTCAGTGGATGCATTTTTAGCAGGTGAGAGATGTTATGTCTGTCTTAGGAGATCACATCACCAATGATACCAGTGTATCTCATTATTGTGATGTTAACTTTTATTTTGGCTTTTGGTAAATTTTAAACTGTAGCACAAACATATATATCCAAATGTGTTTATATTCAAATTTGAGCACAGAGGAGATTAATGGTCTGACCTGCTCTACATTATCTTGTTTGAACACAGATGTCAGTACTTAGTTTCTCCTGCCATCTCTGCATATATTGGAACTTCTTGTAAATGAGTCATTGATTAATAAGATTGTAGCTGCGTTCTGGCCTTTAAAAGGATGGATGTAAAATTTTAGGCGTAACAAATGACTGCTTACCCATGTAAATCAAAATTTTCTTTTTGGTTGTGAATCAAAACAATGTACAATCAAAACAACATACAAAAGAAAATTGGAATCCTAAGTCTGATATAAGGTGACAATGAGCCCCATTAGACTGATCTGGATTCATCAAAAGAGGCTCATTTGTCTCAATGCCTGATTTTATACTAATTTGGGCTTATAAAATATCCTTTGCATATGTTCTGTATATGTTATATACATTGGGCTCCTGTATGGGATATTGACTGAAACAACAGTTCCCTTGCTTTGGACATTTAAAATCATAGCTGTATACCACTTTAAATCATACCCACTGTACAACCTCTTTTGTTCTAACAACCCAGGGCTCGGGAAATACACACACATCCATTTACTAATGTGTCAGTGAGTGTGGTCCCTAGTTGCTCCAAATTGTACAAAATTTGAGATTTCTTGCTTTCCTTTTTGAAATTCAGTTCTACCTGTGTTAAAACAAACCAAAACAAACATTTTATGAATATACCATACTCTATGCAATCACCTGTTTAGCCACTGACCTGCACAAATGACCCAAATAAGGACAGTCCTGCCTTGGACAGTATCTAGCCCAGAGGTCTTATTCCACAAATGCAGGCAATGAAATCCAGAGAGGTGTCTTCTGGAAAAGAGAGCTGCTGATCATGGTCAGACTGCAGCTCCACCTGGGCAAGGTGTGGGGGCACCTTTTTGATGGCAGAGGTGCTCTCTCAGGAGGTGATTAAGCTGCCTTCCTCTCTCTCTTGGCCAGAGTGGGTTGCTGGCAGCTGAAGCAGACCTTGAGCAGGGTCCTTCACGCTGGTTTACTCATCTCGAATTCAGCCATAGAATTGGAGCCCATCCAGGTGTTTGGGGGCTTCTAGATTTCCTAGAAGATTTTGGAATAGAAGATGGTCCTAACAGAAGCACAAAGCAGAAGAGGGGCTGCCTTCGAAAGCCATTCATAATACATTTACATTGGGAAAATGCAGTCTAAGTTCCAAAAGATTTTGCCAAACTCAACCAACATATCTATACATTGGTAACCACTGAAACTTACTTCATTCCATCGAACCATTGTGGATTTCATGTCTACATGTGCAAGGCAATACAATAGCTACTTGGTGGGTGCCAAGGGGATATCAGGAAGTTTGGGACATGGCCCCATGCTAAGGAAGCGTACAATAATCCCAGGGAGATGATCCATACATATATTTAAAACGAAATAGCAATATAAGAGGATGTTTGACAACATGTTCAGATGAGCAGAAGAGAAAAATGTATCATGGAACATTGGAAAAGAAAAGCAGTGTGCCATGTGGCTAAACGCTGGGGATCCTAAGTCAAATGACCTGGATGAAAATGCAGCTTCTCCACTTCCTAGCCATGTGGCAGGTTACTTAAGTTCTCTAAGGCGCTTAGAAGCTCTGGTCATTTTTATAGTCACCAACATGCTATCTATTATTTTTCTCTTAGTCTGAGCGTGAAACACCATTTCAGGAGAGCATGTGAGCAGAGGAACAGGAGTGGGCTTTGCGGCTGCGTGACAGAATCATAATGAATTATCCTCGCAGAAAGCTCCGCAAGCTACTTTCATAACTTTGTTGGCATTTTCCAAGCAAGAGCAGAAGGCGGCAACCCTGGAAACCTGATCCCACCCACCCTCCTACGTCCACACTCCTCGGCACCGCCCTTCAGAGATCCCAGCGCCGGTCCCCAGAGGGCGCTACCGCCCCGCCGCTGAGATCGGCCTGGCGCGCGTCTCCGCCGCCCATCCCGCGTGAGCGCGCCTCCCAGGTGAGGAGGCGAAGGCCTGCGCCGCCCCGCGGCGGGCTCCTCGGCCGGTGGGGCGGGGCGAGGCGAGGCGGAGCCCGAGAGGCCGGGACGGGGCGGGGCGGAACGGGGCGGGACGGGGCGGGCGGCCGCGGGGCCGTGGCCAGACCAAGGCCAGAGGCGGGACCAGCCGCCGCCGTCTCCGTCTCGGTGTCCCGTCCCCCACAGCGCCAGGCATCTGCCGCGGGAGAAGCGGAAACTGCCGGGTGCGCCGCGCCGACCGAGAGCGCGCCGAGGAGCAGCGGGGCGGCCTCTGTCCGGCCTAGACCCACGGAGCGGAGCCCAGCGCCCCCTCCCCCGCAGCCCACAGCCCCGCAGCCCCGCCCCGGCCCCGCCCGAGCTCGCCGCGCACCCCCGGACCGGCCCCTGCGGCCCCAACGCGCCCACCTGAGCCAGACGGCGCCCACCTGAGCCCGTACGCCGGCGCCATGGCGGAGCAGGAGAGCCTGGAGTTCGGCAAGGCGGACTTTGTGCTGATGGACACTGTCTCCATGCCCGAGTTCATGGCCAACCTCCGACTCAGGTGAGGGCGGAGCTCCGTGCGCAATGGCGCGATCCCGCGCTTTCCCGAGAGGGGGCGCCCCTGCGGTGCGGCTTGATAGGGGGTGCGGGGGCGCGCCGAGCTGGAGCGCTGAATTGCGAATGGAGTAGGGTATCCCGGGCTCTTTCCCGAGAAAGGGCGCCCCGGGGTGCGGCCGCGTTCGGTGTAAGGGGCGTGTCGAGCTGGAGGGGTGCGTCTTCCTGAGAGGGGGTGTCCCTGGGTGCTGTCCGGGCTCGGGGATGGTGCGGGGGAGGTGTAAGGGGTGTGAGGAGTTGGAGGCAGCGCTCGGGGCAGAGCTGGCTAGTGCGCTACCCCAGGTAAAAGATGTGGGCGGGCCGGGTGACCTAATGGAAACAAAAGTAAAGGAAAATAACTTTAGGAAGAGTCGTGGCGGCCCCGAAGTTCTGGGACGACTAGAGGGTTGTTTAGGAGAGAGGTTAGGGTCTCATCCCGGTTTCACACTTGCTGCTTTTCTTTTTCTCTTCCTGCTCCCAGCCCCCCCCCCCCGCCCCCCGCGGCTGGCGTGGTTCCATCACGTCATTCAGGATGCTTTGGAGCGATCCCTGAGCTGTGTGTTCCAGGACACTGGCTATTTTTTAGTTGCTCTCTAAACGTAATTAGACACGTTTCCAGACATCGAAGAGACTGCTGGGCTTGCCAGTGCCAAGATAAACTGTCTGAATTTGACAAGGCATTCATGGTTTCAGTTTTTTCACGGAGTTATGGATGGAGCCCTTGTGTTATTGACATCCTTGAAAACACAGTCACAACTCAACGCCCCCAAATAGGCTTCCAGAGATGAATTCATTTTAGAAAGTGTTCTATATGTCATTATTTCTCTTTTGATAGGGTAATATGTAAGCAGAGCTTTAAGGTAGTTTCAAAAAAAATTACAGTAAATAGAGTTTCAAAATAACAGTTTTAGTCTGTGTGTTTCCTGAAGGTTCTAGCCCCATTTCAGGTAAGGTTTATAGCTAAATATCACACCCTACACTTATGAAGTAAAAATCATAGTCTAGGTTTTGGTGCTTAACTAACCCCACCTCTCAGTATTAATTATTCCTGCTAGCCTCAGTTTAAAATTTTTTTAAAGATTTTATTTATTTATTTTTAGAGAGAGGGGAAAGGAGGTAGGAAGACAGGGAGAGAAACATGATGTATGGGAGAAACAGCAATCAGTTCCCTCTCTCACACCCCCAACTGGGGACCTGGCCCGCAACCCCTGCATGTGCCCTGACTGGGAATCGAACTGGCAGCCTTTTGGTCTGCAGGCCAGCACCCAGTCCACTGAGCCACACCAGCCAGGACTCAATTTAAGTTTAAATTCATTAATCCTTGTAACGGCAAACCCCATAGAGTCTTCATTTGCTTTTGGCCAGATTTCCTTGTGCCCCGGAGAATATAGCAGGGGCACAGACCTGATTTTCTACACCTGCCTATTATAAAGACACCTCAGTCAGCATTTGTGAGTTTCCTCATTTGTAAAATAATGAGGATCTTCAGGATTTTCCTGCGCTTATGTGTAGTCTCTTTTGCTTTCACATATCATCGGTTACAGTTTCTAAGTGTGAGGTTTGAATCTTAAGAAAAATTATTAATTTGAGCCAAATTTAACTCCTACATACACAGAACTTTGCAATTTAATTCTACATTGTGTGAGGTACTCCAGGAGTAGGGTGGGAAATTCAAAGAACTAGAAAATATGCTCCTTGCCTCTCAAAGAAGGGTCATGTCAGTGAAGACAGAGAGGAAGTTGAAAATTTCTACTGTTTAAATAATGGGCGAAGAGAACAATAGAAGAGTTAATTAAGTTTTATAGAGCTTAGGTGATTCTTTGCCGAGCAGTTGTACAAGCTTATTGTTCTGGAAGTTCATACGCAGAAGAGATGCTTTAGGCTGGCTGAGAACACCGTATGAGGAGGAGAGAAGTTGCATTACAAAGGGTGGGTAGGATTTGTCTAGGTGGAGAACATTCCAGGTGGTTAAGGTGGCATGAGCAGAGAGGTGTGGAGGCGTGAAAACCTACTCGGGGTGATAGTGAATAAATTATCTAGAGGGGAAGGAAATGTGGGAGGAATCCTACCCTTGGCTAATGCCCAGGTTTCTAGATCTACCTTTACACCCAGTCACCAAGTCAGTCAAGAGTCTGGGTGTTCAGATGTATGCATGTGTCTCCTCTGTGTGAGTACTTGGCCACTCTTAGAATTGGCTGCCTTTCTCACTGTACAGATTCAGTGATTGCTCACGACTGACTGTTAAGTTGGGATTAGTCCATTACCGGTGTTTGTAAGCACAGTCCCAGCAAAGGGTAGCAGTGCCCTGTCCTCCTCTCCAAGCTGTAAACCCTGAAGACCCAGGTGGAAAGCAATCCTCTCTGTGATAGTCTGAATTTCTTGCCACCCTGATACTCCTGCAGACTATTTCAGTGTTTAGCTGCTTGAGCTACTGGGCTCTTGCTGTTGTGACCCCAGGACACGTGGTTTACTTTGCAGAAGGTGACCAGAAGCCCACTGCAGATACACGTGCTCTCAGGTGATGATGTAATATTTTCATTTCCTGGAACATGGGTGGTTGGGCCATACCATGTGTATATTTATGGTGGCCATCTAGGCAAAATTTGAGTGTATTTCATCTCTCAGTAATAGGTGTACATGTACCCCATCATTCCTGCCTTCCCTGAGCTAAGGCCTCTCCCCTTACTCCACCCAGAATGTCCTGTCCTTTGCTCTCCACCTGGCTCTTCTATAAAGTCCTCCTTTGCAGTTACGGTCTGCGACATACAATTAGGCACTTAAGGCTACGGTTGTTTCAGGGGTCTGTGTCATCCAATCTTGATTTTAATTTTTCTGACAGCAGCACGCAGCCTAATGAAGGACACATAGTACATTCTTATGACAGCTTTTTATCATAGTTTAAAAAAAGGAATGTTTCACTTCTTGCTCTGAAGCTTTTATGATTGTCCATTTAGAATTATCTTCTCATTTTCTGCTAAGCCGGCCTTCTTTTATTGGGTTGGAGCTAAAGCTTGATATTTAGACATCTGCTACAATTGATGCAACTTTCCCCTTACTGTTACTATTTTTAAAAATTGACTTAGGTGTGTGTCTGTTATTGTGAGTCTGGATAAGGCAAGATTAAATGGGGTGATGGAGATTAGTGAAAGGTAATGCCTATATCTGAGAAGGAGTTTCAGTTTTTATTTTTAACCCTTACATCCACAACTGCTAGTCTTTCGAGGGCTGCTGCCTTTCCCTCCCAGAAGTCTCTTGTTAGAGGAGATTTGTTCTGTTTATTTGTTTTGATTCTTGGTGGAGGTGCTGGTGGTTCTGGCTGGGGTGATAAGCTCCTTGCCCCATTTTCAAGGGTCTGTGTCCTGTACAGGCACCTCCTGCCATCACCATCAGGCCTGGTTCCTGCCGACAGCCCTAAGGACCACTTGAAGCGCTGACCATAGCCTCCCCACCTTATTCTGTTTTCCTCGTAGCTACTTCCTTTTTGGATCTGGAGCCCCCTGGTTCCTTTTATCCTTGCTCAGGCCATTCCTGTACTCGAGCGTTCCCAGCATTCACAGCAGCATTGCACCCTGTCTCTCAAAGTGAGAGTCCCGCCAGGGAAGCCACATGGAACGTCTGGTCCTCACTGTGCCTGTCGCTCCTCACTTGGCCATCCACGTGAAAGGAGGAATGCAGGCTGCTGCTCTGGAGTGGGCTTGAGCCGAGGACAACGTCCCTGGGAGCCGTGCTTTTCATTTCGTAGGACAAAGAAATATACCATAGGCTTCCAGGAGTCCAGTCTCCTAACTTTGTTGTTGGTGCTTTCTGTTTTAAGAAAAAGGGATCGGCTCAGCCTTATATCTTGACTCCTTGGAAATGTAATTTTTTCCTCCCCTCTTTTCTTACCGGCTTTTCTCTTCCATAACAGCAGTCATTTAAAGCACTTTGTTTGCCAAAGCTACAGGCAACCTCTCACTTTTAACTGAACACAATTATGTCTTTTATACCTTTGCTTAGACCAGGGTTTCTCAACCTTGGCACTGCTGACCTTTTGGGCTGGATAATGCTTAGCTGTGGGGGCTGTCCTGTGCACTGTAGCATATTTAGCAGCCTTTTGGGCTTCTACTCCCCAGATGCCAGTGGCACCAGCCCTCTCCCGTTTATTCAACCAGAATGGCTCCAGGTATTGCTGAAGACCCCCGGGGGAGGGGAGAAATGGTCCCCACTTGAGAACTGCAGGCCCAGGCTGTTCTCACTCTCTTGGAATGTTCTCCCCTCATCTCAGCCCTCGCTCCCTGTCTGTCACACTCCTATTCATTCTTCGAGACCAGTCCTGAGAAGTGTTTCCCAATCCTCCAAGTCAGGGTTGTATATACTCTTCCTTGTGCTCCCAGGATACATGGACACTTAGTCATATTGTTCGAGAGAGTTTATCATATCATATTGTTACTATCTGCATGTCGGCCTTGCCAGCAAATTGTCTTCAAAGACAGAGCCCATCCAGAGGTGGCTCCTGGTTTTGTGGTCCTTGGAAACTCATTACAGTTGAGGAGGTGGGGGACCATCTTTAAGAAAGATGCAATATTAGATACTGGACTTTGGAAGGGAACAGGGCAAGTGAGTGGCTGTTAGGCAAATGCATCGCTGGTCCTTTTGTGTTTTCTGTCATGCTGCAGATTTTGGCAGCTATATGTTCACTCCATTTTAAAATGAGTTACTACCTAAGCAGTCAAATATTGGTTGATTGTTCTTCAACCAGTGGAATCCTTAATTTTAAAAAATATACAATCTTCTTAAAAGTATTGTACTTGTTTTAATACAACTAAGCTGTGTAGGGGGCAGGAGGAGTGAGTTGTAGAATTTTCACAAAAGCAGTGAACAGGCATGCACGCGCTCACGACATCACTTCTGTCCTCCCTCTCTGCGACTCTTTGGTCATTTGGAAAAATTTGGTGGAACGAAGGATCCCTCCTGCTTGCCAGGGGCAAA